CTTCAGGAGTTGGTGCTCTTCTGCCATCTTGTGGGATCTGGAGGTTGGACTCTGCACACACCTCTGCATGCTGAGCATCTCCCAATGCAAGCGTATCCATCTCATTAGTATTAAATTTGCTTCTCTTTCTAATAAACGGTAAAATTTTGGTGTGGTGGTACATACCTTTAACTTTAGCACTTGGGAAGCAGAGGCAGGAGTTTTCCAATGAACTCAAAGCCAGCCTGGTCCATGTAGAGAATTCCAGGACAGCCAGGGATACATAGAGAGATCCTGTCTCAAAACACAAACAAAATGCAATAAATGGTAAAAATTAATGTGTACCAAGAGTTGTAAGATAAAGTTACTTTTTTTAATTGAGACATGTTCTCATTGCGTACATAGGTCTTGAATTCATGGAGCTCCTCCTGCCTCTGCCTTGTGAATGCTGGGATTAAAGATTTGTGCTAGCATACTCAACCTAACAAAGTTTCTTTGATTTATTATCAACTCTATTTGATTTGCACACCTACTCTACACATCTACAAAGTCAGGGCCATGTAACTATTACTCAGGTGGAAAGGATGGTAAGTGAAAAAGATTGCAAAGGCCTGCTCTGAAGATCTCATAGCTTCGGAGCTTCCCTTACTACCCATCTTCAGGCTCTGTTGCCTTCTACCCGTTGCTGGTCTTCTCTCTAGCTCTTTCCCACTCCTTTTCTTTTTTTTTTTTTTTTGATTTTCGAGACAGGGTTTCTCCGTAGCTTTTTTGGTTCCTGTCCTGGAACTAGCTCTTGTAGACCAGGCTGGCCTCGAACTCACAGAGATCCGCCTGCCTCTGCCTCCCGAGTGCTGGGATTAAAGGCATGCGCCACCACCGCCCGGCTTCCCACTCCTTTTCATAGTGACCTGTTGCAGGAGATTTGATCGCACTGTGAAACTTCAAGACTGTGCTAATGAAAATTAACCTTGAATCAAGGGGTGGAGCCAGCGAATAGTTGACAAGAATTAGCCATCTTCGGACAGATCAGGGAAGACAGAGAGGCAGTAGGAGAAACACTCTCTTGCTGTGTCTCCTTGTCTCTGGCCAAAAAGGAGGGTCAGCTGGTTGCTTCTCAGCTTCTCTGATCTAGCAGGTTTTCACCCCAATATCTGACTCGCGAGTCTTTTTTGGTAAATAGGACAACTTAGATAAAAACAATAGTAACCCTGTTCTAAACACTGGAATTTTTTTTTTATTTAAACTCACTCTATCTGTATTGTTATCTAGTGTTGTACAGTAGATTAACTCCCCTCAAATAAATGGGCCAAAACAACAGGCTTCAGTTATCTTCTACCACGTATGTCTATCTGTGGTGTTCTAACTCAGGAATGCTCCTCCAAATGGTGCGGGCAAGAGACCAGCTTCTTGCTATTGAGATCTAATGTCCTTAGGACATGGTGTTGGCTCTCCTAGAGTGAGTGACCCAAGGGCAAGCGATGAAGCCTTGTGACTTAGCTTGATGATCACACCTCGGCACTTCCACAATGTCTGTTTCAGAGGCCTAGGTAATCATGGGAGATATTATTACACCAGGGTGTAAAATGAGTAAATCGGAATTATTAGGGTGGTGCAGGAGGCTAGCCATCACAGCAGGAGAGGTCTGGTGGCCTTCCCAGGTGATAGTGCTGACACTGGCTATATAGATGTGGGGGTTAAGCACGACCTGGATCCAGTGGGATAGGCTGGGAGTATCAGACCTTTAGAGTCTACACCAAGCTTAGGCTGCCACCAAGACTCTTCTTTCCGAGCACTTTAGGGTGGACATTGGTCCATGTCACCTCTCCTGTCTGATGGCATGCCAGAAAACTCCACCTTCCTGGACATGGATTTCTTCCCATTCTCTTAACTCCATGACCATGCAGGTGCCACCGTTATTTCCCTGAGGATGCACAAAGCTGGTTTCCTTACAGGAACCTGGTCTAACGACGCGAGTTCCAGAACTACATTACTTACAGCCAGCACAATTAACAAAAAGCACACAGAGACACACGGACAGCCAATGATAAAGACAGCCAGGGGTGGCCACCGCACAGACTTAACCCAGGGCATCCAGTGGCATCTCTCATGCATCCTGGACACTGTTTTATATCCAGCCTTTCCTCAGATGGTGCCATAGACAGACTTACCTCTGAAGGAGACACACCCAAGTGACTTTCTGTAATTTCCCATTTAGGATGGAGGCATCAGGAGTCTTTGGGGTGCTTAAGTTGAGGTGGAAGAGAAGTTCCCAAGGTCCTGGAACACCTCTTGTACGCACCCTCCATTTTCCAAGCTATCCAAACAGAGGGGGCACAAAGCCTCTGGTGCCCTGGAGTCTCGGTCTTTGGGGAATTCATTGTTGCCTCCAGAATACTGTGAGGTAATTCTGCCAGAGAATGCATGGGCACCCTTAAAGCGGAAGAGAAAGTCTGCATTGCTGGCCAGTGGCTGATGGGAATTTACCCAAATCATGCAGTCCCAAGCTTTACTGTCTTTTGTCTTTTATGCACAAAAACCAGATCTTGGTTGACATACTCCATTTAGCAAGAAGTTATCTAGAAGCAAAATTACAAAAGCCAAAAAGCAAGGTTAGTTGTATTTTAGGGGCTTTTCTGGATCCTGGAACTATGAACTGGGTCTTTGTCCTATTTTGGCTGGTGTTGCGACCTACATGCTGGGTCCTAAGATCAGAATTGTGCCTCTGACATTGTGGTAGTTTGAACGTAATTTGCCCCCATAACCTCATAATCTCATAGGGAGTGGTACTACTAGGAGGTGTGGCTTTGCTGGAGTGAGGAGGAAGTGTGTTTCAGTGGGGACGGGCTTTGAGGTTTCATATACTCAGGATACTGCCCAGTGGTCAGTTGGTTTCCTCTTGCCTGCAAGAAGTAGCAATCTCAAATACAAAACCATCAAGGCAGAAAGAGAGTTGCATATCCACATTAGGACGTCCTCAGTGGGCTAGGGAGATGCCTCATTGATGCTGGTGTCATACCCTATACAGGTTATTTAAGGACAGGTTAGAGTTAAATATTCCTCCTAATGATAAAAATGTATCTGTAACATAACAGGAACTTCCTGATAAAATAGTCTTGGTTAAAACATGGAAAGAAAGATGATGTAGCAGTCTAAGCTCCAACACCATGTGTTCCTGCACACCACCATGCTCCCTGAATAACTGACTGAACCTTTGAAACTGTAAGATGGCCCCCTCAATGAAACGTCTTTTTATAAAAGTTTCCATGGTCATGGTGTCTCTTCACAGCAATAAAAACCCAAACTAAGACAAACACCGTGTCAGAGCTAAGAACTAGGGCCCTTTAGGTTATAAGAGCACTTACTGCTCTTGCAGAAAACCCAGGGATAAGCCCCTCAATGCCAGGCCCACCCCTGAGGACCTCCAACCACTAGACTCCACCCACATGACTCTCTGCCATATGGCTGGACCCAATCCCTCCAGATGCCAGCAGTCAAACTCTGGATTGGATAACTCACCAATCCCTGAGCTTGAAATCCTATTATCTGTACCTTGAACTTGCCCCAAACTCAGGTTTTGAAATCTTACCAATCCCCAGTGAAAGTTTTTGGTGCCCCAATAAACCTCTACACTGAGGCAATAATCCAAAACAGACCAAATCAAACCAAGTTAGAAAAGGCCCAGATTTAATGGATACCAACGCTTCCAGGTAGCCTTCCAGCCCTCAAGAAAGGAGACAGGGAAGGAAGACTGGAAAACCAAGTATTTGTTCTCTGGGGAGTATGATTTAAATACACTATGAGAGTGGTCTTGGACATCTCTAGGGAGGGGTCATCATTTGGTGAGCTTTCTTGGAGGTGGAGTGTGGACTGAGGAAACTCCCAAGGGTTTGGAATAGAACTTTCCACTCAAACATTCCAGTCCAGACTCGTTGGATATATTTACGCCAGGGGCTGGGGTGACATCCAACCAAACACCCACTCTGAAAATCTCCACCCTGGAAAGTTCTTCCACCAAGTAACACTATAGAAACCCTGTTTTCTGCTCAGTTCTCTGCTGCTTTTCTACAGAGCAGAGGCAGCCACCCTCCTGGGTTCTTGCGTGAGGTGTGACTTTGTGGTATTCCTTGGCTCCTGGCTACCAGGCTCTCTTTCCCTTTAGAGATGTAATACTTTGAGGAAACCTTCCTCCCACCACAGCAGAGCTGCAACACTTGCAGCGGGGAGACCTTTCCCCCCACACTGGAGCAGAGCTGCAACACTTCCATTGGGAAAGCCCCCCTTCAGGGCTGAGACCTCTACACATGATTGGTTCCCAAATCCCACATGGGGCTTCAAAACCTTACCTAACTCCAATTCTAAGGGATCTGGCACCCTCTTCTGGCCACAGGCACCAGATATGCACACAGTGCACTTACAAATGTGCGGGCATTTACAAATATGTGTGCATATTCATATATATACATATATTCATATATATAAAGGCTTAAAGTTAGAAATGAAAAAGAATTGCTGGAGAGAAGGCTCAGCTGTTAAGAGACTTGATTCACAGGGCAGTGGTGGCATACACCTTTGATTACAGGAGGCAGAGGCAGGAGGATCTCTGGGAGTTCTAGGACAGCTTGGTCTACAGAGTGAGTTCAACAACAGCCAGGACTACACAGAGGAACCCTGTCTTGAAAAGCAAAAAACAAACAAAACAAAAGAAAAACACAAAAACAAAAGGACCTGTAGCTCTTCCAGAGGATACTGGTTCAATTCCCAGCACCCACACAGCAGCTCACAACTCCAGTTCTAGATATCTGACTCCCTTTTCTGGCCTCCACAGGCACTGTGCACACATAGCTCACAGAAATATATTCAGGCAAAACATCCATACACATAAATTTTCAAGAAATAAATCTTTTTAAAACTTAAAGTAGCAGTTCATGTGGTGTCATCCACACGCCGCAAAGGTGGTGGCCTGGAACCTCAGTCCTGAAATTTTTGAGCCTGTATTAACCACAGGCCTAAAAGAATTTATGATGGAAAATATCTCTGTACAACCAGAGCCTAAGATTTTTGAAGACGAGGCTGTGGACTTCACAGAGCAGGAACTGGCCAGCTTGACACTTGATCAGAAGGCCGTGTACGAGGATGTGGTGCTTGAGAACTTTACACATGTGGCTTTACCAGGGCACCTCGCAAAAGTAAGACAGTATGTCCAACTGGCCACCGAAGCAGATCACCCAGGGTGAAGGCCTTTCTCTAAGTCAGCCGTGCTGGAAGACGGATGAAGGAGGCGAGGTCAGAGCCATGTCACTGCTATCAAGTGCAGTGTTTTCTGTAGCCATGCATACTTCCATCCAAGCAGATGGATTATTGCTTTTAGTTCATTAAAGTTGTTTGTTACAATGTGCAAAAAAAATAAAATAAAATTTAGAGCCAGGAGTAGGGATGCATGCCTCTAATCCCAGGATTTTGGAGGCAGAAATAAGCGAATATCTAAGTTCAAGGACAGCCTGGCCTACAGAAAGAATTCCAAAACAGAAAACACAGACTTGAAAAACTAAATAAACAAATAAAATTTTAAAAGCAAGAAATGCATGGTCCTTTTTCCTCCAGCCTGAAAGGAGTCTTGGCTACAGTGCTGCTTCCCAGCTAACTAGATCACCTGGCTTTCTTTATCTTCTGGAAGCTAAGGAAAGACTCTGCAACCAATTTTGAATTTTATTTATCATATTTTAAAGTATATTATAGTTTCATATGTCTCCCTATAGCAGAGATAGCTAATATTGTTGGCATAATTTACTAGGGACAGGATTTCACTGTGTAACCTTCACTGGCTTGCTACTCTCTCTGTAAACCAGACTGTCCTTGAACTCACAGAAATCTGCCTGCCTCTGACTCTTGAGGGCTGGGATTAAAGGCAAGCATCACCAAACCATGCTCGCTGTCTAAATTTTTTTTTTTTTTGGTTTTTTGAGACAGGGTTTCTCTGTGGCTTTGGAGCCTGTCCTGGAACTAGCTCTCTAGACCAGGTTGGTCTCGAACTCAGAGATCCGCCTGCCTCTGCCTCCCGAGTGCTGGGATTAAAGGCGTGCGCCACCATCGCCCGGCTCGCTGTCTAAATTTTATACAGGACACTGAGCACATATTTTATAAAAGATAAAGAATATTTTAAAAAAGAATAGATCTTAGATTTAGAAGAATTAATGGGCATGTCTGAGGTTAAGATAGACAAAAGCTGCCAGGCAGTGTGGTACACGCCTTTGATTGCAGCACTCAGGAGCTGCCAGGCAGTGTGGTACACGCCTTTGATTGCAGCACTCAGGAGCTGCCAGGCAGTGTGGTACACGCCTTTGATCGCAGCACTCAGGAGCCAGAAGCAGGTGGAACTCTATGAGTTCAAGGTCAGCCTGATCTACAGATAGAGTTCCAGAATTGCCAGGACTACCCAAAGAAACCCTATATCGAACCCCCACCCCCATTCCCACCCCTCCAAAAAGAGAAAAAAAAAACAAAAAAGAGGCTATAGTTAATTCTGACAATTTATGTTTGCCTATTATCTATGTAATCACCGGTATAAAAGACTGCAGATAATAAACAGAATATTTTTTCTTTAGTTTTAATTTTTTTCCCTGTTTTTTTGAGACAGGGTTTCTCAGTGTAGCCTTGGTTGTCCTGGAACTCACTCTGTAGACCAGGCTGGCCTCGAACTCACAGGGATCCGCCTGCCTCTGCCTCCCAAGTGCTGGGATTAAAGGCATGAACCGCCACCACCAGGCTACGATGAAATCTTTTAATAATAGACACAATTTTGAGAACAGATTTACGTATTTGAAGTTAATGTACGTTTTATGGTTATTATATATCCAGTAGCGTCCTTCAGAGAGAATACATTTTTCCTACTGTTAAGGCAGTGGTTATCTAGCAAGTAAAGGCATTGGCCAATGGGAAAACATACAAATAGTATTTAGAGAAATGTGATTGCCATTTAAAATGGTTTGTTTACTAAACTGGAATATAAGGGTCTTTTTTATTTTTTATTTTTTTTGGTTTTTCGAGACAGGGTTTCTCTGTAGCTTTGGTGCCTGTCCCGGAACTAGCTCTTGTAGACCAGGCTGGCCTCGAACTCCCAGAGATCCGCCTGCCTCTGCCTCCGGAGTGCTGGGATTAAAGGCGTGTGCCATCACCGCCCGGCTTAAGGGTCTTTTTTAAAAAAAAAAAAAACTTGATCCCCAACTATAACCCAAGCCCTAGCCCTAATCCCAGCCCAATAGCTGACCCCACACGCTCTCACACTAAATCTTCCTGGGCAAGGAGCGAAACTTGCCTGGGGTGCAGCGCTGACACCGCAATCACATGTCCCAGAAGTCTATGTTACTCACAAGTCAGACGTTCTGATATCTTCTTGGGGAGGAGGGAGGGAGAAGGTCATATATTTGAGGGCCCCGGGTTTTCCGAGAATGGAGTTGATACCTGTGCACGACTGGGAAACATAGTCCACGTTCACTCTGCGCGGGCGCATTTCCCCAAGGCGCTTGTCAAGCTGCCTTTGTGGCCGCGATCTGTCTTTGTGTGGGGTTCAGATTCTCTGGCTCTAGGGCCATCTGAGCATTCATTGGCCAGTCTTTACGTGTGTCCCAGAGTTTGTCTGTCAGCTGTGCTACGCTCCCGCTGGCCCCGGGCACCAGAGTCCTAACCCTGTCCCCAAGAAGAGTGAGATGGGAGTCAGGACGAGTGTGTGACCGCGACAGGGCGAGAGTGAACCCTGCCTGTGTGTCGGTGGGCTAATGTGGGGGAGACTCGAGCCAGCTGGACCTGAGCTCCTGGGAGACGGGTCACCGAGAGGTTGCTCTGCAGGCTGCTGTCCCTGGATCCTGACTGCAGTACCTGATCAGGTGGCTATGGAGCTGCTCAGTTCTTCTTCAGGCAATGCTCAGAGGGTCGCCATGGAGACCTTGGCCCTGGAACCAGAGCAGACAGGGCTCAGTCTCAAAGAGTGGTGGATTTTCACCAAAGGAGGATAACTCCCAGAGAGGTCAGGCCAGATTACCTGAAGCAACATCACTTTTGATGCTTGTCTGTTGAGCTTGCTTGTCTCAATCAAACATGCTGATGGGAGGGAACTGAATGGCCATGTTTTTCCTCCTTAGCTGGAGTGTTTGGGACACTGAGAACCAATGTTGATCCCTGAGACTATATTAGATTGTGTCAGACATGAGGCCCATCCCCACACTATATCTGCCCTGTCTTCTCCGACTTCTAATTATGTCAAGGGAGTGTGGGCTTTAGCGCAGCTGTGAGAGCCTGGTGGGTGTGGTTAAACTTGATTTATTTCTTGACTCATTCCTCCATCCCCAGCTCAGGACTCAGTTCTTTCTCCCAAAGAGACTTCTCAGGATAAGTCAGACTGGGGACTCCTGGAAGCCAGATCTGAGATGAGTCTTTTATTCATTTACAAAGATAGCCACATTTCTTGCCCAACCCTGGATCTGTAGTCAGCCACAGACCGGCGATTGGGCACCTGCTTTGCAGTTCTTAAGGGGCTCTGGATAGCGGGAGCAGCACCAGTTAAAGAATCCAGATGATACCAGGATCCCTACTAGCCAGACTCAGTCTAGTAGGTCGCTCAGTTGCCAGAAACTGCTGGCAGCAGTTTTCCTCCAAGGTCATTTTGCTTAACTTCACCTGCGGGCCAGGACTGGAGAGACGTGGAGGGACATTTAGGAGAGTTTACAGGCAAGGCTATATGGGAGCCCTCAAAGAAGAGTGACAGTAGGAGGGGCTGGAGAGATGGGTCAGTGGTTAAGGGCACTTGCTGCTTTTGTAAAGAACCCAAGTTTGGTCCCCAGCACCAACATGGTGGCTTGCACCACCTCCAATTCCAATTCCAGGGACTTCGGTGCTCTCTTCTGGCCTCAGACACTAGGCATGCACATTGTGCAGACATACACAGGCAAAACACTCATACACATAAAATAAATGTTTACTTTTATTTAAACGGGCATCAGGGCCAGGCAGTGGTGGTGCATGCCTCGAATTCTCACACTCAGGCAGCAGAGGCAGGCAGATCTCTGAGTTTGAGGCCAGCCTGGTCTACAGAGTGAGTTCCGGGACAGCCAGGGCTACACAGAGAAACCCCTGTCTCGAAAAGACTTTAAAAAAAAAAAAGACCTAGCTTTTCACTAATAAATTAATCCCACATGTTGCATGTTGTGAGATGTGGCTAACTTTCTAAGATGTATTAGAACGTTCTAAGCTTGCATGGATGGATACACTCAAGATGCAACAACCAAGTACAGCATCTGATCCTCAACTGGAGCACAGACCCAAAACAAACGAGAAAAGGCAATCTAGGAAAATTGAGACAAAAATTGAAAACGAGTTATAAATCTAATAGTATAGTACCAATATTAAATTTCTTTAGTGTGATACTATTTCTGTGATTATATAAAGAAATAAAAGATGAAGAAGGTAGGGGTGAAATTCATGATGTCACAGCTTACCTTCAAGTGGTTTATCTAAGAAATGTCTGCATATGTTCTGTGTGTATGTGGAGAGAGAGAAAGAGAGAGACAGAGAGAGGCTACCCCAGTGTGGTAGTCCACTTGTACAGATGTGTTAGTGATGAAATATCAATTTGTCACATCTTGGAATGATGCATCCTCCAATCATAATAAGCCTTCCCCCAAGTGCACACATGTGAAAACTTATATACTGCACTAACGGTTTAGCCTGGGGCCTCATTTTAGTTGCCCAGGTTGATCCAATCTTGCTGCCTCATCCTCCCAAGCAGCTTGGATCATAGGCATGTGCTACCCTGTAGGCTGTGCCCTCCCTCTTGAGGGCTTTTACCTTTGATACTTTCTCACCCGTGATCCAAGTTATCCGGTCTGCCTGGACTGCACATGGAGGCCAGAGGACAACCTTGGGTGACATTCCTCAGGAGCTGTACAGAAGATCCCTAGAGCTCAGGAAGAAGGATGGCCTCACTGGTCAGCAAGCCCCAGGCACCCAATGTCTGGTGCCGGGATAAGCACACACCACGCGCTCGGCTCCGTTATGTGGGTTCAGGCCTTCACGTCCATGTAGCAACATTTTACTAGCTAAACTGTCTCTGTGGCTCCAGGTCTACCCTTTAGCTAGAGTTTCTGGACCATTTTCATGGAATGTTATTGGCAGTGTGGCTTGGGGTTTTATTTATAGCCTTGCTATTGCTCTCTCTATACCATGTGTCACTTTTGTTTCTATATTCAAATATATAGTCCCTCAGCACCTGGGATTTTCTTCTCTCTCTCTCTCTCTCTCTCTCTCTCTCTCTTCTTGATTGAATATCGGACATTGCAAATTACATTGGTGAATGCTGCCCTTTTTGGAATTCCTTAACTATTTCTGGGATTCACCTGGGAGTAGTAAAAATATGTGACATCAATTTGTTCCTCTGAAGGATGAAAGTTGGGGATAATGTGGTGGCGGGAGCCCTGGCAGGGATTTATGAGGCAGAAAGGAGTAGATGGCAGGCTGGGCCCAGGTGCCCGGGGCCACAGACTTTCTGATGCATCGTTGCCTTTCTTAGAAATAATCGATTGCAGCCTGGAGTTGGATTTTGTTGCAGTGTTAAATTTCCAATAAAGTTGCTGTATTCTTGGTACCAAATATTCAAGGTTTTGTTTGGTTTAGTTTGGTTTTACAAGACAGGGTTTCCCTGTGTAACAGCCTTGACTGTCCTGGAACTCACTTTGTAGACCAGTCTGGCTTTGAACTCACAAAAGTGCTGTGATCAAAGGCATGTGCCACCACACCCAGATATCCAAGGTATTTAAAAAAAAAAAGGATTTATTTGGGAGCTAGCAAGATGGCTCAGAGGTTAAGAGCTCTGGCAGCTCTTTCAGAAGTCCTGAGTTCAATTCCCAGCAACCGCATGGTGGCTTACAACCACCTATAATGAGATCTGGTGCCCTCCTCTGGCATGCAGGCAGAATACTGTATGCATAATGAATGAATGAATGAATCTTTAGATTTATCTTTAGAAAAAAAGATTTATTTTTATTTATGTGTATTGGGGAGATGCTCGTGGAGGCCAGAGAGGCCCTCTGAGTCCTTGGAACTGGAGTTATAGGCAGTTGTGAGCCACCCAACATGGGTGCTGAGAACTGAATTCACGTCTTCTGAAAGAGCAATCAGTACTCCTCAGGACTGAGTCATCTCTCCAGATCTCCCGACTTTCAAGTTTGTAAGTTTGTAACATTTGGCCCTAGGAAATAAAACACTCCACCTAAGAATGTACAAAAACTAGGAGCAGGTGGCAGGTCCCGTGGGTGCACAATGTCCATCCAGTCTCACTGCCAAAGCCCAAAGGCAGTGTGGTCAGGCCTCTACCCCGCCTCAGCCTTTGCACGGGCTTCCTGCTTCTGAGCTCAGTTGCTGCTCACCCAGGACCCTACAAGGTTCCTCATCCTAGGCTTTCTTGGAAGAGTGGACTCCTGTCCTCGGTGAATAAGAATGTATGTGTCACTTCAGGAACCGGTGACTTTCAAGGATGTGACTGTAGACTTCAGCCAGGAGGAGTGGGGCCAGCTGGACGCTCTTCAAAGGGCTCTGATCGGGAAGCGAGGCTGGAGAACTACCAGAACCTCCTTGCCCTCGGTAAGATGGCTCCTCCAAAGCTGGATGTCTACTGTCAGCTTTCTTCCCACGCCGTGTTAGGGAAGAGTCCTTTAGGATCAGTGCTGGCGGGCCAGGGTCAGCCATGCTAGAAGGAGCAGTAAAGCCACATCCTGGCTTTGAGCTGTGACTGTCCCAGAGCCGGGCCATGTAAGAGAGAGAGGCCTGATGAGGAGGTAAGGTGGGAGCTAGGAGCTTTAGAGCCTCTCCGCCCCAGAGCTTTATCAGGTGACCAAGCGGGATGCCGTGTATGGACCTAAAAGTGCGTGCTGTGGGGGAGTCCGCATCTGCCACGCTTCAGTGATTTGGGGCCCACGGGTCTCGTGTCCTGGTGGTGGCGCCCCCTTACAGTGCTTTGTCCTTCTAGGTAGAGCCATCAAACCCTGCTGCTTTCCCCCCAGGAGCAGAGCCTCCACCCCACAAACCAGAAGTGATCTCCCATCTGGAGCGAGGTGAGGAACCCTGGGAAGAGCTCTGGAAAATCCCAAGAGAGGTTTGTCCAGTTGAGCAAGTACCGCAGGAAAAGGGCAACAGACTTCTCCATGTCCCCTTTCCCCTCCTCAAGTAGCTCTCCCTGTCATAGCCTTTCTCTCCTCAGCGCTACTGCTTTGACCCTGTCTGCACCGTCCGGTTCCCCTCCCAGCCTCCCAGGGTTCTCTCTCTGTCACCTGTTGAGTACCAGCTGTGTGTCAGAGAATACAGTGCACCAGGGAAGACAGCAGTGGGCAAAGCTAACCTACAGCGCTGCCTTCTGACAAAGGCTGTCTGTGAGTGACACATGAGGAATAGAAGTCTCTGAAATCTCTTTGGCAGAGGAGAGTCAAGGGCAATCCTCCATAGGAGGCCGACATAACTTTTCTTATTTAAAAGAAGTGGAGGGTGCTGCTCACTCTGGCCTTGAAATCCCTATGTGGTTTAAGCTTGCCTCAAACTCAAAGTGATCCTCCTGCGTCAGCCTCCCCACTACTGGAATACAGTGTAAACTCAAACATCTTTTTTACTGAGTTCTCTTACAAAGTTGTTTAACGAAGAGGTGAAGGAGCTCATTTCAGCTAAATTGAACAGACAGTGAAGATTGACTATGTTAGGCCTCAGAAGCTTGAGAAAGACATTTCTGTGAGAATGAGACCAAAAATGATCAAAACAAAGTTATGTGTTTTGGGCAAGATTGCTGTGCCCAGGTAGGAGGGCACAGAGGTCAGGTACCTCGTTGATTCTCAACCCCATCTCTGTCTTCACAGCCCCAGTCCCCAGACAGCTGCAGATACCTAGGCCAGAGACCCTAGGTCTGGCCTTTGTTTCTGGCCCCAGTTTCTTCTGCCTTCTTTATCAAAATTAATTTTTTTAATTTTGTTTTGTTTTTGAGACAGAGTTTCTCTGTGTAGTCCTGGCTGTCCTGGAGGCCCGGCTGTCCTTTGGAGACCAGGCTGGCCTCAAACTCACAGAGATTCTCCTGCCTCTGCCTTCTGAGTAACGGGATTAAAGGTGTGTGCCATCAAGCCCAGCCTACTTCTTGTATCTTTTTGAGAAACACTGTTACATCTCAAACTAAACTCCTTCGGAACAAGGAGAGAAGGGCCTAATTGCTCCTGGGCAGTTAGATAAAGGATACTAAGTGGCAGTTAGTGGTAGGTAAGGGAAACTAGGTGGGGGCCACCTTCTTCCACATGCACCCCACAGAGTAACAAATCCATCAAGGCTGGCTGCCCTGGGGATGTGTTCCAGCCACTCCAGCTCTTCTGAGGGAATGCTAAAGAGGGCGGGGTGGCAGGCCTCTTTCCCTCGAGGCTCCACAGACCACGTCCTTAGACTTGAGTTTATGCAGGTGCATATCAGTGCGGGTTTCCATGATTGAATTAGCGGCTGATCCCCAGCCCTCCTGAGATGAGCCCTCAAGGGACTGATTTGAAGCCCACGCGTGTTCGGTTGGAAGAGTCCCTTTGAGCAATCCCTTCTGTCACTCTGCTCTTGTGCCTTCAGACTCCCGGGTGCTTTTTGGTTCTTAATTAATTTTCTGGTTTACCTGCATCTCTAGGTCAGCAATCCAGTCTGAGTTCCAGGGCTTACCCACAGAAAATTCCACTTTAATCTCTTACAGAGTGGAAGGCGAAGCCTGAGGTGATGGAGAAGGACCTTTACAAAACAGGGCTCAGAAGCTGGTTCTGAAGCAGCTGAAGAGGCCAGGTCAGATGGGAGCCAGCTTGGGTGATGCCCGAACCTGGGAGCTGCAGGATGACACAGTGTTAGGGAGCAGGCGGAAGCCAGCTCCTATTGCCAGTGGGGACCGCATAAAGGAGAGTCAGGGCAGACACAGGGCGTCTGAAGAGGCCTTCTCCTCCCAGCAGGGCACTCCCACAGAAGAACATTCACCTGGCAGATGCACCAGAGACACCCAGCCCACAGAGGGACTGGCCCAGAACCACCAAAGGATACGCTTCCCGTCAGAAGAGCCCGGCAATCCACAGTGGAGCACAGAAAGCATTGGATGGGCCGGGACGCCCAGGAGAGCAGGTTTGCCTGCAGCCAGTGTGGGAAGGTGTTCCTGCAGAGCTCAGCTCTAGCACTGCACTTGTGCTGGCACGAGAGCGACAAGGCCTTCCCCTGGAGCACCGACCTCCAGGAGCACGAGCGCAGACGCTCTGGCGAGAAGCCCTTTTCCTGCCGTGAGTGTGGCAAGGCCTTCAGCTGCCACTCATCTCTCAGCGTGCACCACCGAGAGGCCCTATAAGTGCGGTGCCTGCGAGAAGGCCTTCAGCTGCAGCTTGCTGCTCAGCATGCACCGCAGGGTGCACACCGGGGAGAGGCTGTATGCGTGCGGCGAGTGTGGCAAGGCCTTCAACCAGCGCACGCACCTCACTCGCCACCTCCGCATCCACACCATCCACACCGGCGAGAAGCCATACAAGTGCGGGTGCGGCCAGGCCTTCACCTGCCATTCCTCGCTCACAGTGCGCGAGAAGATCCACAGATGGGACAAGCCATTCAAGTGCGCGGCGTGCGGCAAGGCCTTCCACAGCCTCCACCAGAGGACGCACACGGGGGAGAAGCTATTCCAGTGCTCCGACTGAGGGAAGGCCTTCAGCTGCCATTCATCCCTCATAATGTATCAGCGCAACCACACCGGCGAGAAGCCCTACAAATGCCACCAGTGTGGCAAGGCCTTCAGCCAGAACCACTGTCTAATCAAACACCAGAAGGTTCACTCCAGAGAGAAGGCGTCCAAGTGCAGCGAGTGTGCAGGGGAGGCCTGCAGCTGGAGCCCACACCCCGAGCACCAAGTACCAGACATTGGCCATCCAGCTCAATAGGCACCTGCTGAGCACCTGCTGGGCACCTGCTGAGCACCTGCTGAGAAGGGAACACCCAGGCGAGGGGCATGGCTCCACAAACACCTCGGGTGTAGCAAAGCTCTGTGTGCGGACAGCCTCCGGCCAGTAGAAACTGCCCTTTGGAGAACAAGTCTGTCCATAATGACACTAACTGGTCACTTCCCCAATTACCCAAGTAATGTGTCATCAACTCTCTAGGCTCTCAGAACCAGACTGCTGTCCCTCCAAAAGGCCTTGAGGTTGTCTCACAGCCATTCCCTCACACTAAATACGGTCACTCCGGGGAAGGGACAAGCTACAGAAGAGATCTGAAGTTATCGCACCATCGTGTTTTCCTTAGCGGGGCCAGAGGTCACTAGTGGGGTATCATGAGACGGGGCTTCCTGTAGCCTAGGCTGGTCTAGCTGGGAATGCCCTTGAAGATCTATTCAGTCCTCTTGTCTCTACCTCTAATGAGATGACAGGTATGTGAGAACCACCACGCCTGGTTCATGCCATGTTGGGGACTGAATGGGGACATTCAGACATGTTAAGCAAGTTCTGTACCAACCAAGTCCCTTTCCCAGCCTGCGAAACTGTACCTGGCTGGCTGGTTGGCTGGTTTAGTTTTTAGAGACAGGGATTCTGGTTAGCGCTGGCTGTCCTGGAGGTCACCTGGTTGGTAGACCAAGCTGCCTCTGCCTCCTGAGTGCTGGATTAAAGGTGCGTGCTACCCCACCCAGTTGATTAATCTTTCTGTGGAAATGTGGGTAGGGAGGCATACACCAGAGATTGTAGCTCAATGGTAGAACGAGCCAGGGAAAGAACGTCTCTCTAGTCTACATCGGCTGCACACTCACTGTGCCGGATGATCTGAAACTCCTGATCCTCCCACTTACTCCTCCCACTTCCTCCTCCCACGTCCTGGATTACAGGTGAACACTGTCATGCTCAGCTTCAACAAAAAGTAGAAACTGAAAACGTGAGACGTATCCCAGTGGTAAAGAATTTGCCTAGCAAGCACGGGTTCAAGCCCCAGCACTAAAGAAAAGATTGAACAGACATAATTTCTGATAAACGTATGCTTTGATGCACTGCCTTCTTCTGTGTCCCCTGTGAACTTTTAAATTACTTTAAGTACGTATAGTTTATCCTTTATTCGTGTTGCAACAGTATAGATTTTTTCCACAAAAACCTGAACTCTGTGTGTGTGAGAGAGAGTGTATGTGTGTATATGTGTGTGCATGTGTGTGTGCATGTGTATGTGTGTGTGCATGTGTGTATGTGTGTGTGCATGTGTATGTGTGTGTGCACGTGTGTGTGCATGTGTATGTGTGTGTGCATGTATATGTGTGTGCATGTGTATGTGTGTGCATGTGTATGTGTGTGCATGTGTATGTGTGTGCATGTGTATGTGTGTGTGCATGTGTATGTGCATGTGTGTGTGCATGTGTGTGTGTGCATGTGCATGTGTGTGTGTGCATGTGTATGTGTGTGTGCATGTGTGTGTATGTGTGCATGCGTGTGTGCATGCGTGTGTGCATGTGTATGTGTGTGCATGTGTATGTGTGTGTGCATGTGTATGTGTGTGTGCATGTGTATGTGTGTGCATGTGTATGTGTGTGCATGTGTGTGTGCATGTGTATGTGTGTGCATGTGTATGTGTGTGCATGTGCATGTGTGTGCATGTGCATGTGCATGTGTGTGTGCATGTGTATGTGTGTGTGCATATGTATGTGTGTGTGCATGTGTATGTGTGTGCATATGTATGTGTGTGCATGTGCATGTGTGTGTATGTGTGTGTGCATGTGTATGTGTATGTGCATGTGTGTGTGCATGTGCATGTGTGTGTGCATATGTATGTGTGTGTGCATGTGTATGTGTGCATGTGTATGTGTGTGCATGTGCATGTGTGTGTGCATGTGCATGTGTGTGTGCATGTGCATGTGTGTGCATGTGCATGTGTGTGCATGTGCATGTGTGTGTGCATGTGTATGTGCATGTGCATGTGTGTGCATGTGCATGTGTGTGCATGTGCATGTGTGTGTGCATGTGCATGTGTGTGTGCATGTGCATGTGTGTGCATGTGTATGTGTGTGTGCATGTGTATGTGCATGTGCATGTGTGTGTGCATGTGCATGTGTGTGTGCATGTGTATGTGTGTGCATGTGCATGTATGTGCATGTGTGTGTGCATGTGTATGTGTGTGCATGTGCATGTGTGTGCATGTGTATGTGTGTGTGCATGTGTATGTGTGTGTGCATGTGTGTGTGCATGTGTATGTGTGTGCATGTGTGTGTACATGTGTATGTGTGTGCGCATGTGTATGTGTGTGCATGTGTATGTGTGTGCATGTGCATGTGTGTGCATGTGCATGTGTGTGTGCATGTGCATGTGTGTGTGCATGTGCATGTGTGTGTGCATGTATATGTGTGGGGTGTGTGTGTGTGTGTGCTCATGTGTGTTCTCATGTGTGTGCCTACCATGTGTGCCCACACACTCGTGGAGGCTGGAGGTTGATATGGGGAGGTCTTCCTCTATTGACCTCACCATTTTTTAAAATGTTCACTTGCGAGTTGGAGAGACTGTTTTCTCAGAGGACACAGCACTCACCGCAGCCTGGAACTCCAGCTCATGAGCATAAACACCTGTGCTCTCCAAGGGCACCTCTATACATCTGTACACACCCATACCCAGATATGTGCACACACGATTTAAAATTTAAAAAATTTTCAAATATTTGCATAGGGACACTGTGTGCACTCTGTTATGCACACAGAGATCTGAGGACAACTTCTAGGAGCCTTTTTTTTTCTTTTTTAGTCGTTTAGTTTTTCAAGACAGAGGTTCTCTGTAGGTTTTTGGAGCCTGTTCTGGAACTCACTCTGTAGACCAGGCTGGCCTCCAACTCAGAAATCCGCCTGCCTCCCGAGTACTGGGATTAAAGGTGGGGGCACCACTGCCCAACAAGAGTTTTATTTTCCTTTTTTTTGTTGTTTTTTATTTCTTTGAGATTTTTATTTTTAATTATGTGTATGTGTGTGTATTTGTGTTTGTGCACCCCAGTGCAAGTGGCTCGGCTGTGGCAGTTATAAGAGGGTGCTGGGTCCCCAGGAACAGGGCCTGTGACCTGCCTAGTGTGGATGCTGGGAACTAGGACCCTTCTGAAGAGCAGGAAGCGTTCTTACCCTGGACCATCTCCCCAGCCTCAGAGTTTATTTTTTTATCACAGTTTTTTTTTTAAATTTGTTTGGATATGCCTCTTGTTCCTCTTTCCAGTGGAGCCTCCCTGTATTCTTAAATCTGTCTCTAACAACTCCCCTTCCATATCAAAGAAAAAAATATATGTATACTGAGGAAATTTAAGAAAGATCAAGATTGCCAGGCGGTGGTGGCGCACACCTTTAATCCCAGCACTCGGGAGGCAGAGTCAGGCAGATCTCTGTGAGTTCGAGGCTAGCCTGGTCTACAAGAGGTAGTTCCAGGACAGCAGGGCTGTTACACAAAGAAACTCTGTCTCAAAAAAACAAAACAAAAAAATTAGAAGAACAAAACTAGTATTCAGCATCCATTCCTGGGTCATGGCCTGAGATTTGGGGCTGCAGATTCAGCATGCGTTTCCTTGCAGCTTTTTTCCTTACAATCACACTTAGGCATAGTCTTTTAAAACAAACCAAGGGCAGTGAAGATGGGTCAGGGGGTGACGTGCTCTTTGCCATGCCTAGACGGCCTGAGTTTGCGTTTCCAGAACCCATATAAAAAGCACGAGCAGTCACTCTACATCCCTGCACAGAGCAGGACAGGGACAGGCAGCCCCATGAGACTTCCGGGCCAGTCAGTCCAGCGGAATCGGTGGGACCCTGATATTTTTTCAAATTAATTTTTAGTTTTTAGTTTATGTGTATGTGTGTTTGATCTGCATGTATGCCAGTGCACCACCTTCATGCCTGGTATCCGTGGAGGCCAGAAGAATACATTAGATGCCCTAGATCTGGAGTTACAGCTGGTTGTGAGCTGCCAATCAAACCCAGGGCCTCTGGAAGAGCAGTCAGGGCCCTTAACTGCTAAGCCATCTCTCCAGTCCCAGAGACAACATTTTAAAAATAGAAATTAGAGCCAGACATGGTGGCATGTGACTTTAATATCAGCACTTGGGAGGCAGAGGTAGCTGGATCTCTGAATCTGAGGCCAGCCTCATCTACAGAGTGAGCTCCAGAACAGCCAGGCTACACAGAGAGATCCTGTCCCAACATAAATAAATAAGGGAGAGAGCCATAGAGAAAGATACCTGGTGTCTCCATCCTCCACAAACACTCACACAGATTAGGGGGCTCTGGAGAATTGGCACAGAGGTACCAGCATGGAACCCCGAGATCTGATCCCCAATGCATACACCCTCTCAGCATTGCTGCAGGGACTAGACTGCCGGTCTAGCTTCAGATTCCTAAGAGACCAGGAAAAAGGTAGAGTGGTATAGCAGGACACCCGATGTCCTCCTCTGACCTCTGCAAATGAACACATGGGCACACACACTCGTACAGCATCTACACTAAACACATGCGCACCAAAACCCACTTAGGACTTGGACTTAGTGGCACATGCCTCTGTTGTGATCCCAGCTCCCATGTAGAAACCAGGATTAGTAGCATGCTTGTCCTCACACTGCTGGGCATGCAGAGACAAAAGACCCTAGGGCTTGTAGGTCTAGCTAAATTGGGAAACTCAGGAATCTTTCGTCAAGGGCCGTTTACCTTGTTTTT